ATGTTTATAGTTGGCACTGAGGTCTCAAGGACTTTTCAGCTTGCCATGTTCTTGCCAGTGTGCAGGAGCACAACAGGACAAGGGGGGAGCATAGCCAGGACAAGGAGTCCACGACTCTCCTTACGATTTCTACTTGGACTTAAGATTGAGGGCCAAACTGGCCAATTAGTATTCCATATCATGCAGCGTCATGCCCAGTATAAAGGTGAGGGTCAGCCGGAAAGAAGGGCTTTTGCCCTTCCGGGACTCTCACTTTCAGACTCTCGGGGTGTTTTCTCTCTCTCGCTCTCTGTCTCGAGGCCTCCCGTTCATCCGGGATTGCGGTATCGGGTTTTATCTGTTTCGGGATTGCAGCTTTGGGAAGAGATGGGCCTCGGTCAAGGGGTGGTGAGCAATTACACCGTACATCACTCGTTTCTATATATCTATCCTTGTAGATATTAGTACATATATATATTGGTAGCGGTAGTAGTAAATTGTTCTTATCTCAACCCACAGGTCTCTTTTCTTCTTCTTCTTTGATTCTCTCCCTCATCCCTGGGGGTGGGGGAGTGAGCAACTGTGTAGGGTTTGGTTGCCAGAGCAGCCTAACCCACGACATGTACAGAGAGCGAAGGAGCACTTCCGAGATCGCAGCCAGTCCCATCCTCTTTTGTGAGACTCCAGTGTGTCATGCCTCTTTGCCAAGTTTGCTTGTTGGACTCCCAGCCCCTGAAGGAACCTCTGCATTTTGGTTTCCTGAACAGCCCACAGACAACACTGGGGATATGTTTGAAACATTTTCTTGTAATAGATATGGTCCAGCTGGCTCAGACCAGCCGTAGATCCAGCTGGCTCAGTCCCACCTGTGACTACCCAGAGCATGCTGTGCCCGTGGGCAATGTGTGGAAGACTGTAAATACTGGCAGTAATTAAGGGAGAAGCATCAGATCTAAACCAGATTTCACTGTTCCTACCCCATCTGGAAACGTGGCACAGTCTTCCTCTCCCTAAGGAAACAATGTTAAGAATTAAATTAATTGTCGCTCATCTTCCACGGCCTGGCAGGTGTTTTGATAGCGAATGACACACACCATTCTGTTTTTGTTCTGTCCAAAAGGTGAAAAAGGAAATTGGGGATGTCTCCATCCTGGTGAATAACGCTGGTGTGATTACAACTGCCGACCTGCTCTCGACTCAGGACCACCAGATTGAAAGAATGTTTGAAGTCAACAGTCTTGCTCACATCTGGGTAAGGAATGTGGATGAGCGTTTTATTCCATGTGCTGGGGTGAGACTCTGGCAGTGTTGCTGCTGACACCTGAAACCTAAAAAGCAGCATAGGAAAAATGTGAGAATCAGCTCCTGTTTATAGCTGATTTCTTGAAACATTCCCGTTTGGAAAATGGGTTGCCAGTTGTACCAGCGGAATGGGGATCTCTGGGGCTCTCAGAATCTGAGGGGCTGTGCAGCACATACCATAAGCAACAGCATTAGTCACTCATTAATGATAGCCAGGGTCAGTGATGAATATTCCTAAGAAAACATTGTTCTCTTCCTCCCTTTCCTCCCCCGACATCTTTGCCTCTTGGTTTAAATGACTTTCAAGACCACACGAGCTTTTCTGCCAGCCATGATGAACAACAACTATGGTCACATCGTTACGGTGGCTTCGGCAGCAGGTCATTTTGTGACTTCTTTCATGGTGGCTTACTGGTAAGTGATTTTAAAATCAGCTCTCTTTGTTTTTTTTTAATTTTTAATTGCGTCTTCTCCATCAGCAAGCCCAGAGTAACCAAACGAATCCTCCCACTGAATACGGTACGTCCAAGGCATGGTGCTAGGGAGGAAAAAAGCACAACAGGCAGCACCTAAGGATGCCTGGAAGTTCCCACCAGTTTGCTTATGAGCTCTGACTGCCTCAGGAGCTACGCTTGTATCAAGGAATACTCATGTACAAATCAACTAATGAAAGCTTCTCCTTTTTTCTCTCCCTCACTGATCCAGGCTTTTGCTTGGTAGAAAAGGTATCCTCTTTTCTTCTCCTTGTTAGAAAGTGGTGCTTCTGTGAGTTGTGTAGCGTTGTCAAGTAAACCCCTACAGAGTAGATCTTGTGGCAGTGACTCGTGTACAGAAATACCTCTGCCATCATGAGATAAAATTGCTTTTTGGCTGTAAAATTACCTTTCAGAAGGTAAAAACCTGATAATTCTTACTGTGTTGTAGGCAACCTAACCGATGAAACTGAGAGGCTGATGCACTGACTATTTCTACTCACAGCACTTGAATCTCAGTGCATGAAGAGAAAAACTGTCAGATTGCACATTGTCATTCTGTGTCAGATCAGCCCTCTGTACCAGCAGCTCCAGGCGGAGCAGTCTGTCCCTGGGAACACTTCCTGAGATCCACTCACTGTTGGCAATATGAGAACTCCTGAGCCTGGGATTTTACTGGGATTACACTGTCCAACCCAACAACAGTCAATAAACTCACTCTCTGGTTCTACTTTCTTTGGATTCCATTTACACTCTTGGCCTGCACCAATTTCTGTGGCAGTACGTTTCTCAACTTGTGCATGCATAATGCTCTTCCGTTTCAAAACTCACATGTAAATGTCACGCAATGCTCCAGTGCAGTATGAGAAACAGTAGAGAGTTGTTCTCCATTTCTACCTGCCCGTCCTTCTGCAATCAGGCTGAATTCCTTCTCACATGGGAAAAACAGGAAATGCATTGACTGATGCTCATTAGGTATCATTTTCTAAGAGTTCCTGACGTTCATCTGTCTGTTCACAACTCAGACGACTTTTTCTGAAAGACACCTGCTCTGCGCTCCATAATTACTCCCCCAAGCAGCAGTACCTAATCCAGCACTACACTCTGGCACATGGGAAGTTAGAATTATTCTCCGCCCTCTCTTCTCAGCTGGATTACATTTCTTTGTCTCCTAGTCAGCACTGTATGATCTTTTAGGCCATTTCCCTTTGTAGAAAGCTAGAAACAGTATTTCTGCCTTCTCATTTCTGCTTTTTCCTCTCCCACAGTTCAAGCAAGTTTGCTGCAGTTGGATTTCATAAAGCTCTGACAGAGGAGCTGTCTACCCTGGGAAAGGACGGAATAAAAACTACGTGTCTCTGTCCTGTTTTTATAAACACTGGATTTGTCAAAAACCCCAGTACAAGGTAACTGTCAGAACTCTGCCTTGCTGTCCTTCCTTCTTTGCACCAAGGCACTACATATCGGCCCCAGCTTTGGGCCTTGTATTCCAACTGACTCCATGTCCTACAGTATATGCAACTGGCTAAAGGAAACCTGCAGTGCCCTTACACCCACGTAACGGCTGGATTTTGGGTAACCGAGGTTGTGCATATGTGAAGCATCCTACCTCAGGTAGTACCACTCTGTTTTACCACCACAGCTCTTACCTGTATGCTTTCCTGTGCAGGCTTGGAAAGATTTTGGAGATTGAAGAAGTTGTAGAGGCCCTGATGGAGGGAATACTAACCAACCAAAAAATGGTTTTTGTTCCACCACACCTAAGCATTGCTTTTCTTTCTGAAATGTAAGTAGCAAGAGAAAAAAAAAAAAAGGAGGGGGGGAAGGGAAAAACATATCAATGTTAACTAACTCAGTATACAACTGTCAAACTTGCAACATCTGATTCAAGATTAAGTTTTATTTTGTGAGGAACTGCATTTTGCACTCTTGGTAGTAATAGATATGGTTTGGCAGTATAGAGAAATCCTGGAACGACAGCTGGACAGCAGATTTTCACATGCAACCCAGTTTCATTTATTTTGTATTATCTTCAGTGTTTGGCATCACTATACTCAGTTATTTATCAGTCCAGATTTGACATCAATATACCTGTAGTAACTAGATAATGTGTAACTGCCTGCAGGAGAGAGTATTATTTTTTGAGCAACCACTCATCTGAAATATTTTAATATGAGAAGAACACACAACAAGGTAATGAAATAGCAGTGGTTCTTTCTAATGACATGGCAGACATCATACACAAAGATTTTCTGGAGCCCTGTCATAGATCCTTGTCATCCACTTTCGGCAGCTGACTGTTCTCAATGGAGAACTCAACTGCTCTACAGGTTGATAGGGAAGGAGAGGGAGGACAAGAGAACACTCTGTTCACACACAGTCATTTCCCTTGGGCTTGTGAACAACAGTTTATCTGAACCACCAGCCCCAGCATAGTTCCAGAAAGAGCTGAGGACCTGCTGCTTGTTAGTGTTTGTTTCCTCATGTCAACACCAAAGACTGAAGTCATGGAGGCTGGGAAAGTTGCTTCAGAGAGGGCTCTGCTGCTGCTCTCTGCTATGTAAACAAGATTTGTCTTCTCACATGTCTTTAATACCCAGTGTAGTGGCTCTGCTGAGGAGGTGCTTTTACTGGAGCTCCAGTTCCAAATCTAGAATTGACACCAAAACAATCAAGGTAACGTTTCAGTTAACTTCTGCAGTATTTCATGAAACACTTGGTGTCACAATAAGAGACAATGTTGGGTTGATAGAGGACAGAGAGGGGCACTACCTCGAGCCCTTTTTCAATTTGCCCAGCCTGCCCGTTTCCCAAGAAAGATGAGACCCTTGTATCCGACCCGCCTGCCACACTCCGTTTAAGGAGAAGGGGGTTTCCTTGAACCCTTTACAATTTGGCCAGCCTATCAGGCTTATGCTGACTGTCACTGGGATAAATCCCTCTGGACAGCCCGCGAGGTCGGAGGGTGGTTGTCTATCCTATTCAGGGACTGTCGCAGTCAGCAACACCGGGACAAATCCCTTGTATCCCCTATATCAATTACTGAAGTTTCCCCAAACTTATATTTACAGATAGACCAATTTTATGATATATGTTTGTGAAAGGACAAAGGTTCAAAGGTAGCCAGTGACAAGACTGTGAAAACATATTTGGAACAATGTACAAACAGAACTGATCAGTGATGATTTTAAACAGCTAGCAGGGTGTTAGTCACTAAGCACGTGTAACGCAGAGCTCTTACCCAACAGGCGTCCCTGTGGGGGAGAGAAGAGAGGTCCAGCCTGTCGACTGGTCCCAGATGTTTTGATGGAGGTCTTCTCCCTAACATCCCCCTTCTCTTTTGCCATTTTATACTATTTCTTTACTTTCAGGTGTAGCTTGAGTGACTCTAGTCATACATACCTTTGTTAGGATCGGTGTAAATTTTCCTCGCTTTGGTTGAAAGGCATAGGCTAGAAGAAATTCAGGGTGCATGCTTAGTGAGGGGTGGTCGCAGCCCGGAGGCGGGTAGCTTTTGGGATGGAAGTGTGTTTTGGTATTATAATGACATTGTAATGAGCAAAGTTCAGCTTCAGGACACAATTTCACCATCATGGCTAAGGCAGCAGTTGCGATCCATCTTCCTTCATAGCAGCTATGCAGTTATCTGCGCCAGTCATACTGTATCCCTGATAACAGGGATGAGCCGTGGTACCTCCATACCACTCTGCTCCCCATTCCAAGGATATTGTACATTCCGCTCGGCCAGAGCAGGACTTGTCCAAGCCAACTACATTATGTTCCTGGGAGCAGCAACTGTATCTCAATTCAAAGCTGCTCTAATATTACAGCTTATGGTAAGATGTAAGCTGAACTTTAAAGAGTGTTCTTCCATTCTCCCCCTTTTCCATTATGTTTCCACACTTGGTAATGTCGTATTTGCAAAACAGAACACCAGACAGTAGGGAAAAGGCTTTTAAGTCCTTTTGCCTCTCCAAGAGCTGCATGCAGACAGTGGAAGTCTGCAGAAGAATAGTTGAAATTAATGCTGTCAGAGCCTTTAGGATAACTATGCTTTTTTGTCTTAATTTGAGGCAGGGGGACACAGAGACATGACTCATAAGAAAATAAATCCTAGGAGAGGAACTGCACCTCGGTTTTAACTTCCCAGCCTTCCATAGCCTGCTGCTTTTCAGAGCATGAACCACTCAATATGCACCCATCTCTCTTCAATATTGAACCTTCTTGGATCCTGCAGCAATATTGCAACCTAAATACTGCCTAGTAGATACCTGGTCTTGGAACAGTCATAAAAGGACATGGGTGAGATTGGACTTAAAACTAGTCAGAAATTGATGAGGGCTATGTATTCTTTGGAAATACCACCCAGTTTAAGTCTTGGTCTCAGTCTGTGTGTACACACTGCTGCTCCCAGATCAGCTTTTCCCTCACCTGCAGTATCACTTTTTCCCATAATTTAATGTTCTTATCTCACATTTAATCTCATGTTATTATCTCCTTCAGGTTGTTTCCAGAACGTGCCTTGGCTTTTCTGAGAAAGCTGACCGATACCAAGTTTGATGCAGTTGTTGGGCAGAGAAGCACTCAGTGAAGAGGGAAAATTGATTCTCATTTCCCCGTGGCACGAGTGAAAACACAACCTGTGCTGAGCATAGTGCCACTGGTTTGATTCAGAGCAGAACTAAGACAGATGCTTCCAGGCCCCCATTTCCAAGCACATCTAAGGGTTTATCCCACACCTGCAGCAGGGACATCCCTGCATCACAGGGAGTGTTAGCATAGCAGAGATGCATCTCTAGAAGGCTAAAGGGCTGCTTTGGCCGTACGTCCCGTCACCTCTACCTCCTAGTGGTGAGGCAGACAGGAATTCCCACAAAGCCCATCTCTGGCACAGCACAGCTGCGTACTTAAGTGCAAAGGGATTGCCTGAGAATATGTTAATCTGGACTCATGCCTGAGGAAAGATGTTTTGCAATTTATAGAGGAGGTGGGTGGCCTGTTTCACCTCAATTTATCTTTTTAAAGTTAATGAACTCTCAGTTTTGTGTGCTTTTGTAGTGGGTACCTGAAATACTACAGCCTTGTTTACAATGTCATACCTAATTATGTTGATTATCAAGCATGCATTAGTACCATCAACACTCCTTATCCCAAATAAATACAGTCTCTAACCCAAAACATCTCTCAGCAGTCAAAGTGGTAACCAGGTCCAAGCAAGGACAGCAGAGCAGGTATTCTTCTCAGCCTCCTGCAGACAAGATGAGCAATTGCACAGCCAAACCACCAGGACAAAAAAAAATAAAATATCCTTTTCAACAACTCTGATCTTAACTGGAGACTGATTGTGGTCCGAGGACAGATGTTCATGCATCTTCACTATTCCCCCAGGCAGCTCAAATATATCCTTCAGGAAAATTATGAACAGTACCTGGATGCATCTAGCTTTCTAGCTGAAAAGCAAAGGAGTAAGGTCAGCAATCCTTTTCAAATAAGACCACACAGGTACACTGTTAGAGCTGGACAAACCACCTAAACTAGTTTTCTCCCGTTTCCTGTAAGCATTCCTGTTCTCGTTAAGGTTCTGAATACTCCATTACACACACGCAAGTCCAAGTAAGACTTGTGCAATTCAGACTCCATTAGAAAGGATGATCCAATTCACGCAGTCAGTACCGTTTTCCAAAGGACCTGAGGAAACTAAGCAGCCATAGCATAAGGTGGAAGGTCTGGGTATGGATAACTAAGAGACAGAATAAGAGGGAACAGCCAGCCAAGAGCTCCCCTGTGGAGTCTCAGAAGTTGAAAGGGCCTGTGCCATTCAGCTTTTGTAACATGACCTGGAAAAACAAAGTCTGTGCACAACGCACAGGTATTGAAAGAAGGGAAGGAAGGAGGGAGGGGAGGGAGGGAAGGGAGGGAAGGAAAAAAAAAAAGCACCGTCCGGGCGGGGGACGGGACCGACGCGTGCCATGCGCGAAAGCTGCAATCCCGGGCAAAACGCCCAGTTTTCAGCACCCTTCCACCACCGGCGTTTTCCTCAGCCGGCGCAGAAGCCACCTCAGAGCCGCGATTCACTCGCGGCGCCGCCAACAGCGG